CAAACTAACTACTTCGCTCAGCGTGGTCATTGTGACTCCGCGCTGCCTCGTAAACGACGGGGAAAGGGGAAAACACATACCATAGTGCTACCCCTCAGGCATCATGCAAGCTAGGACATTGGGCTCCATGGCGATTGTCTTCCACAGCACAAGCCTCAACAACGCAACGAATTAAACTCGGAAAGAGAGATGCTTTGTGCAATTGGTCGGCGATCAAAGCACCAAACAAACTACACTGCCAAGCCCCGTCCGGTCCAGCACAATGTTTACGTAGGGTATGCGAGATGAGGGGAAAGGAAACCTGCACCATGAGGACGAAAGCGCGAGTGTATAATGCAGTGCGGCAATTAAAGCTCCACACTGCGATATCAATCTGAGACAGCGCTCACTCAACATTTTTGTCTTGCGACGCCGAGTTCAACCCACTTGGGTCGTTGACCACGGCTCCACGTCGGGCTAGCCTTCCCATCACCACAAGGGCCGGCCCGGCTTCAACATGGCGGCATTGCAGGGCCGCCAGATGCTGCCAGATCCGGTGCCGGCCCTCGACTTGCGCCATCACAGTGAGGTCAGGGCAGAAGGGTCTTCCAGTAATTAGTGCGCGACTCGACCAGGGTCTCCGGTACCTCTTGCAGGGAAAGACACGGCCTCACAGGTTGGTGGACAATGCTATTCGTCAGGCGCCATCTCTTTGGCCACAAGCGCTTCAAGAACTGAAGTGGAACGTCATCACTGAAGTTGCCCGCCCACATGTTTATGCAGCACAGCACACTGCCAGAGCATGTCATGAAGGCGAAGTTTTTGTCCGGCGAATTGCAGTCCATTTTGACGAAGCGTGTGATGTAGGCCTCATTGTCCTGCAGCGTAAAGGCGGCGTTCTTGCCACACCCATCGCCCTCCATCTTATTGAAGCTCACGGGCGTACCGCCTTCTGCAGAGCGGCCATTGCATGCGGTACATGGGGCCTTCAAAATACCCGCCGCTAGGCCACTTGGGCCCTATTTTTGCACTATATTCACACATGTATATATATATATATAAGCCGTATTATACCTGCATGCAACAACATGCGTGGGTAGATGCGTACCTGCGCAGATACGCAAAACCACTGTGTTGACTGCTGCAATGTAGTATAACTATCCCCAGCTGTTGTTAAATGGAGTCTTGGGACCGCTTGCAGCGACATTTCCATTAGCAAAACATTTCCGGTTTACGTTCGCTTATGTTACGGGTAATGGCAGGGGTCAAGAAAATAGAGCCGAGGATGCTCAACAGTGTTTTCGGTCTTCTGGGGTTGGAACACTCCGGATGTATAACTCTGAGCATCCCCATCATCACGATCACCATTAGGAGAATCATCATCATCTACCACCGTTTCCCCTTACAGTACTCCCAGCACTGCATGTATGTATAAGCAAACCGCTGTCAGCAAGGCCGAATCCACAGCAAGATTCAAGGCGGGCGGGAAGCAGGGGTTCGGGTTCGAGGTTGAGGAAACAGCTGCAGTCGAAGGAAGTACTAACCCGTATTCGAGTTGCAACAAAGGTGACACCGACCATGCAAGACTGAGTGATCACTTCGACATGTTTCTGAATCTCGTGTAGCACTGGACTGCCGCTTGCAAACCGCGCGGACAGCATGAACAGTCGGGCATTTTGAGTGGTCACACTTTTGTCACGCAAACTGGGTCAGTCGAAAGCTGAAGTTAGCAACACCCGCATTCTGCGGCCTCTGGAAGTTCCCGCCTTAGAGTCTTAGAGGTGCTGAGCTCCAGTCGTGTCACCAAAATTTAGCATTTCAAGGCAGCAGGGGACCAAGGCTAGCTGTTCACAGCGAGGTTTCTTTGATGTAGGTTGGCCGACGAAAGTGGTGGATAGAAGCCCAACCAGATTCCGACATCAAAGTCTCAATCCCTTAAGTGGCCTGGGTTCTTGTTCTCAGTCTCAGAATGTCCCAGGAGACCGGCCGGTTTGCCGAGATCTACACAGGCAGGTTCACCCTAAGAGAACAGCTTTGCGACAACTTGCATCTCCTGCAAGGTATACAGCGGTCCCAGGAGATGGCGATGCTGCGCAGCCTTGATGCAGCTTGGATGGCCAGCTTAAGCGGTGCCATGCCAGACCAGCAATAGATTGACAACACGTCTCGGAAGTATACATGTTGTAGACATACACATGTACCTACACACACACACACACACA